CCCTTCTCTGAGGCCTTTTGCGCAAATGCCACCCTGCTTGGTCCTTCCTCTGACCCCAGCCTTGGCTGCCCCGTCTCCCTGGGGCGCCTTCTGGGTACTTTCCCTCCTTCTTTGAGACTCAGCTTCCAAGTACTCCACACCCTGGGGGCCAGGCTGGTCCTTCCTCACCCCTGCTCTCACTCAGGCCGGCTTCAAGCCCAGGCCCAACTTCTGGCCCACCCCCCCACACCTGCTTCTGTTGTTGGGGCTCCACCCACCTCCTGTTCCATCGGCAGTACGAGGGGGCCCCCCAAAAGGGAATTTATTTATAGAAATGTGTTCACACATCCTTAAACTTCAATCACCTTCAAAGGACTTCCCTTTGGATGCAATACACCCGTCAAGACGCTTCTTCCACTGCTCAAAACAGTTTTTGAGCTCGTGAATTTTGATGCCTTTTAGTGCTTCTGTGGTTCCCCCCCCCCCACCTCTTCCATGTCAGCAAAAGGTTTCCCTTTGAGGACTTGTTTTATCCAGGGAAACAACAACAAAAGTCACTCAGCGTGAGATCCGGTGAATAGCGAGGGTGGGGGGTCATGGCGTTTTTGGTCAAGACTGCCGAACACTGAGCGCCGTGCGGGCAGGTGCACTCGTAAACCACCTGTCATGAAATGGGCAGACGTGTTCAAAGGATCTTAAGGAAAAGTTCACTGAAGACGAATGCAGCCTCTCACGACAACGCTAGCTGGCACACGGACACACTGACGGGTTCCTGGAACACTTGCCTAGCGGGGGAAGCCTGGACTACCAGAGGCCCGCCCTCCAAACGATAATTCCAGGTTTTTGGGGGTCCCCCTCGTATCAACACGACAGACACCCAGATCCTGCTTTCGAGGCAATCACTCACTGAGGACGAGGTGAGTTGCTGTGGACCGGGCACACGTATTTCTTTATTTCATCTTGGTTTAACTTTTTGAGACAGGGTTTCACTGTGTCGCCCAGGCTGGAGCGCAGTGGTGCAGTCCGGGTTGGCTGAGGTGACTCCCGCCTCACTCCCCCCGCCCCGGCCCCACGGGATACCCCTTGCGCAGTGAGGTGGCTTTGGAGAAAAGGCCTGACGAAGAGTGTGAGCCAGAAGCAAGTGTGTGAGTCTGGGGAAAGGACGGGCCGGGCAGAGACGACGGCAAGTGCAAAGGCCCTGAGGGAGGGAACCGGGAGCCGGGAGGTGAGGCTTGCGGAGGACACACGCAGGGTACAGCGCGTAGCCCGAAGCCCACGGGGCCGCCCCCGGCGGCGGAGCCGTCCCCCAGCCTTCTTGCGAAGCCCCGACCCGGACTGCTCCGCTCGCGCCACGGGCTTCTGCGCCGGAGCCC